CACTAGCGTTTTCAGAAGCTTGGTTTCCATCTTCAGGCTGTGTTTACACTAGTACAAAAAGTAAATATTTACTTAATAAATTAATTTTAAACAAAGTTAAAACAGATGATTTAAAGGATATTTGAAAAATAAAAAATAATATTAGAAAAATTAATCTTTTGAATTTTGGGAAATGTGAATTTAATTCTAACTTTAAATTAATAAAACGACCAAAAACTAATTTTAATCATATAACAATCAATTATAACAGTGCTAATCTAATGGTAATTAAATAATCTATATTCAAATACCAGTATCCTCTCCAAAACTACCAGAAAAACAATTTAACTACTTGAGGCCTAAACAGATTAACCGAATCATATTATAGCCTATACTGGGGTAGTATCAAAAATATTTTAAGTATTGCGACCATTGCAACTGTCGACTACTCTTTCACCACTTGAAAACACCCATAATTATCAAGCGTAGATAGCTCAGGAGGTAAGGTAAGAGGCTCATAAGGCGAAGGTACCGGGTTCGAGACCCGTCAGGGCCAAAAACTTTTTTCTCGTTTTTTTCTTCAAAATTTGTGTTTATTAACTATTTAATCAATTTACTAAACTTATAATTAAGCTTTTCATACTAAATCTATATTATTTTGTGTTTTTTATATTCAGGCCCAGACCACACTTTATCCCAGGGACATCCCATAGTAGTCCCATATGTCCTGAGAATGTCCTGAGGACTACCCTGGGATGACCTCGGATGTCCTACGGATATGCGTGTGAGCTTATCCGTAGGACATCCCTGGGCGGGGACATTACGCATTCCAGTGGATATCCTGGGATATCCCAAGTTGACCATAGGACCACTATGGGATATCTTGCATATCCTGTCGCAATATCCGTGGGATGTCCTGAGGAGAAAGTGTGCTGTCTGGGGACTGACTTATGGCTTTGACTATTGATAAAGCTAGACATGTCATAATTATGTTAAAATTGTAGCCAGTTTCAGACACTGATGAATAAGGAACTTTAACTGTCTATTGACAGTATACTCATGATAAATTTTGCATCAAACAAAATTAGAGCTCTTTATCCACTTGTGGTACATTGCGACTAGACCACAAGTCCCCCTTGAATTGGCTTTTCCCTTCCACAAATTAAGACTTCACGCAAAAAAAACATCAAATTCAGGTATCAAGTTCTTTAAACATCTGGCTAAATCCATGAAGGAGGAAACAAGAATTGGTAGTTTCAAGCAGAAACTGAAGTAAAATATCATTAAGCAGACCAGTTTACTCCTTGAAAAACCTTTTTTATTTGCTGTTCCATGTAAAGAGAAAAAAAGTTAATCTAGGATTCATAACCTGTGTTTCTCATAGGTACTTTAAATGGTACTGTAGCCTTTTTTTTTTTTTTTTTTTTTGTCCTAGGACGCTAGGCACGAGCCTGGGATTATTACTTAGTGTACAAATTTACATATTCATACTTTCATGAATAACGTTTAATTGATTAATTGATTGATGTATTGAGCCATCAGTAGGCTATGGTACAGTGATAGACTACTGATATATTACTGATTTCTGTTGACAACAACCAAGTCCAGCCAAGTCAAACCGATATGACATACTGATATATAATCAATAGCATATTTCATGTCACATCAACAACAAACTCGATAATTATCAATACTGTAATGGCAAAAAAATAATTTCAGACCATAAAACATTGCCACACTATGTGAATGACTCATTCAGCTATGTTCTTTTTGCAGAAAAAAATGGCTAAAACTGCTCCATATATAGATGAGATGTATACTTCAGTATCCCAAACCCAGCTTATATCCACTAAGGATGCCTTTACACAACACGGCCAAATTGTTTGGCAGTGAATTAAACTTTTTAACTCAGTTACCTACCAAGAAAAAACTGTGGAACCTTGAACTTGTTCGGACAAATTTTAAATCAGACATGCTTTTAGCAAATGTCACATATAGGGAATAAGCTATTAACGTAGTACTCGTGGTAAGACCTGGACCCGGGACCGATTTACTATTTTTTTTTAGGTCTTTATAGGCCAAAAACGCCCTCAGTTCAAATTCATATATATATGTCCGTTAGTGCGATAACTTGAGCAAAAATTATCCGATTTTGATTAAATTTGGTAGAAACGTGTAAACCTACGTTTATTCGGATTGGTTTTTCCCATTTTTGACTCTAAAAGCATAAAATTTCACAATTTCTTTCCAGAATATTTGGTAGAGCTTAAAAAATAAATAATTTTGTATATTGAGGCGTTGTTGTATGCCTATTTAATTTAATTTTATAAACTTTAAATTTAAAATTCCCATGTTATTCTTATGGAGAATAAATAAACTGTTGTAGTTTGCTTGTTTATGGATAAATGTTAATAAAATTTGGCAATTTTGTTTATTTCATACTAAGCTATCGACATTTTAATAAAAAAAACACACCTCAATACCTTCACTGTAGCAGCAAACCTAGGTGCTCATTAAAATTAATGTTATTTAAATAAGAAATAAAGCTGGCAATTTTCAGGGAATATTTTATTAGAAATCCCAGGCAGGTAAGTGGAAATTTGCCTTGTCTGCAGGTTAGCTGCAGTGGGGGTATTGACTGTATACAGTTGTTCAGTTTTATCTTTAAACAACAAAAGCAGACTTTAATGTTGGATGTTCTTGACATCCATGTGCACGGACTGGCCTTGGACTTTGTCCATCAAGGAACTAGATGTAACGTTCTGACTGTGTACCGTACACATGACAGTGACTTAGACAACTTTACTAACGCTCTTAGACATTACTATGAGAACAAAAATGACTGCAACACATACGTCTTCATGGGTGACACTAACGCCAACTTACTAGAAACTGACTACAAAACTGAACGCTACTTGGACGTTTTTTTCGAACACGGTTTTATATGTGGCATAAATACACCTACTAGAGTAGTAGGAAATAGTCAAACAAATATTGACCACATATTTGTTAACCACAATGATTACACTGCCTTACAAACTGCTGTGGTGAGGACAGACATAACTGATCACTACAGTATCTGCCTACAAATAAGTCACAACCCCTACACTAAGGACACGTCACACAACACAAACACGTACATTGACAAAACATCTTTGAGCTTAAACATTAAAGAGTGTGATTGGTCAGACGTCTCACAAACGAGTGACGTTAACACATCTACAGACATTCTTTTTGACAAAATTAAAGATTGTGTAAATAAATCCACCAAACAAAGACCTGTTCTCAAACCGAGGCTGAGGCCTCTCAAACCATGGATCACCCATGACTTAGTACGAAAAATAAGGGATAGGGACAAATTGAGCAAGTTAGTTAGGAGACAACCTTTTAATATGGAATTGATTTCAAAATATCAAAGAATCAAAAATGAGTTAAATCAAGATACAAAACTAGCTAAATACAATTATTTTAGGGAAAAACTTTCAAATTCTAAAAACAATCCAAAAACGTTCTGGAGTACATTAAACGAATTAGCTGGTAGAGGTAATAGAAAGAACATTTTCCCGCTTACACAATTTTCAGGAAACAGACTGAATGTTGACAACGACTGTAGATTACAGGTAGCCGACGAATTTAATGAGTACTTCGCCAACGTTGGTCCCAACTTGGCAGCAGGTATAGATTCGGGCGGTTTGCCTGTGGTCGATGACACTGACCACGCTGTTGACTCCATACTCACACTTCACACTGTAACTGAACAGGAACTCTACACCTACGTCACTAGACTGCGAGGTGGCTCAGCTCCAGGGTATGATTGTGTATCAGCTGAACTACTCAAAGACAACTGGGAGACACTTAGACAACCACTGCTACATATAACTAACAAGAGCATCCAAAGTGGTATTTTCCCCAACGCCTACAAAATTGCCAAGGTTGTTCCCCTCTTCAAGTCCGGTGACGTCACCAATATCTCAAATTTTAGGCCAATTTCTTTGCTAAGTGTGTTCACTAAGATTTTGGAAAAAATTATCAAAGATCAAGTTTTTCATTACCTTAACCAGCACGATATTTTAACTCACCACCAGTTTGGTTTTAGAAAATCAAAAAACATCACAGATGCATTGTTCGAAGTTAATAAAGATATAAATTTGGCCATCAGTAAAGGTAGGCGTGTTGTTCTGGTATTTTTTGACTTGGCCAAGGCTTTCGACTCAGTTGATAGATCGCTCCTTTAAAAAAAATTAGAACTGATAGGTGTTCAAGGTGTAGCTCTGCAATGGTTCCGATCTTATTTTGATAATAGAAAGCAGTTTGTAAATATTAATGGAATCAATGGAAATCTTGGTAATGTAGACTTTGGGGTGGTCCAAGGTAGCACGTTAGGGCCTTTACAATTCTTAATTTACATTAACAATCTTGTGAAATTAAATATTGAAGGTGATTTTTACCTTTTTGCTGACGACACCCTAGTTTTATTCCAAGGCGAAACTTGGGACTCAGCTTTTGCCAATGCCGAAAGAGGTGTGTCAAAAATTAAAAAAATGGTTTGATCAGAATGTGTTAACGCTCAATGTCATTAAAACAAAATTTATTCCAATCTCCTTAAGAGCTCGAGTGGGCACACTTCGCAACGAAATCAAAATTCATTCATGTGGTCTTGAAATCGGAAACAATTGTGCTTGCCCGGTAATAAATCGAGTTCAAAATTATAAATATCTTGGAGTTGTGTTTGATTCAAAATTGTCATGGGCAGATCACGTGTCATACTTAAACAAAAAGCTAAGAAAACTAATTTTTGCTTTTCGCCAACTTCACCATTTTCTTGAAATAGATGAAATTAAAAATGCATATTTTGCTTATGTACAGTCACTGCTTGAGGGGGGGATAATTGCCTGGGGCTGTGCTTACAGCAATGTTCTACAACCTCTTGTTGTGACACAAAAGGCAATCATAAAAGCGGCACTGGGCAAGGGTAAGCAATACTCGTCGGATGCTCTGTTCACCGAAATGAATGTACTTGATTTAACGCAAATATACATCAGAACAGTTTCGATGTTTATTTACAAACATCATGAGTCACTCTTTGATCGTCCACAACATGACCATAATACTCGACATGCACTAGGCCAAGGCATACGCTTACCAAGACTTACAAAGACATTTTCTACAACAAATTGCTATTACGTTGCACACATTATTTACTCAAACCTTCCACTAGACTTACGAGACTATGACAGACACTCAATTACAACGTACAAAAAACACATTGTTCACTGGCTAAAACTCATTGGGAGGGATGGAGCTAATAGATTATTAGTTTCCATATACAGACAATAGGTGATACAGCTGATACAGCGTGTGTTTGTGTTTGCACGCGTGTCTGTGTGAGTGTGTGTGTGTGTGTGTGTGTGTGTGTTGGGGGGGGGAGGGGGGCGTTTTGGGGGGTTAATGGTAGGGGAAAGTCAACGAGTCAACCTGATATCATTTTATCTATGTTCCAATGTGATTTGCCAAAATTCCGCTAGCGCTTTGGAATCATGCCAGTGGATAGAAGTATTTTGTTTTGTTTCTTTTTACGTATAAAATTTTTTTTTCTCTTTCATATAAAAGTACAGAATGACTCACTCCCACGCACGGGTTCTCCCATGTGGGATTAATTTCGTTTAGTTCAAGTACTCAGTTATTTTCTTATGGTAATCTGATACTGTATTTTGTAAAAATGTAAAAATGATTACTTTTGCGAAATAAAGACATTTTGATTTGATTTGATTTGATTCTTCACTACTATAGTTCGGCCGCTTAGAGATAGTGACTAAAACATCACCTCTCATTCATGTTGATCCTGCTATTGTGTTTGTCTTGGTCAGATTCTACTTATTACTATTGTATGCACTATTTATTATTATTGTTATTATGTCTTGATTATTATGTATCGTATGCATCTTGTGTCTCATTTTCAGTTGTATCTCTTTGCTCGTTAACCATCTGTACTTCACTTGCAATGCTAGCTTCTTTCTTTTTTTGGTTTGTCCAGAGTCTTATTTTTACTCACTATTGTATGGCACTATTTATTAATATTATTACATGTCTTGCTATTATGATTTGTATGCATCTTGTTTCTCTTTCAGTATTATTATTATGCCTTTCCACGTTACCTGATATCCTCTTGCATATTTTTTTGTAATGCTAGCTTCTTTTGTTCATAGTCCACCTTTGTATGTTCTATTCAGTAGTATTACTATCCTTATGCATCTTGTGTTCACCTATTGTATTATTTAGTATTTATTATTGCTTGTTATCTCCCGTATGTAATGGCATTATTGTACAATGGCTTCTGTCGTGAATAAACTAATTGAATTGAATTGAATTGAATTGAATTGACCTGAGCGCTAATGCTAACCAATGCTAGAGGAGGTTGTTATCCAAGCGGCCGAACTATAGTTGTTAATTTTCAAACCAAACTGAAAATGCTTAGATGTTATTGATTGACTAGTATTTAAGTCTATATAAAAATCCTGGTTGAGACTACCACTTCGGTGTTTAGTGAATGCAAAAATACCATCAAAACATGATTAAAATATACTTGAGACGGTTTACTGTTATAAATGCATTGTTTAACTGTTAGGAATAATGAAATAGATTCAGGATTTGTTCATAGTTTATACTCATAGAGAAGTAAGAAACGGAGGATACATTCAATGGTACACTTAAGTGGTGAGCACCAGTCGCTGGTGTATAGAGCAAATTTTATTTGTCGTCCCCTTCCGTTCTACCTTTGCTACAGCACTCACGCTATAGGAAGACTCTGTGCGCTATAACTGTTATACAACAATGCTATGTGGCCATCACCATTCGGGCTCTTCCTTGCTTGATGTTGATACTAGTACATTTCCGCCTTAGCCTACCAGAGCTAAAAGCGCACGGTTGCCCCATAAGCTTGTACCCTCTCTATCTTACATCCATCCTCCTACGTACTATCCTCTCTAACTTGTTATATATTGTATCATATTTGTACTTTGTATTGTTTGGTATTAGTTACAAACTATGAACAAGCGTCTTCCTCAGTTATAGGTCTTGCTGTTATTGCCTCATCTTTGAGAACAGAGAAAATAAGATTGTCTGAAGAAATAACAACAACAAACTCTTCCCAGTTTCCTTACCAGGTAATCTAGAGTGACAAAACCAGAATATATTTTTGAGAGGAGGAACTTTATTACAACAAAATGACACATTTGTTGACTGTAAATGGGTTTTTATTGGGCTTAGAAAACAAAATACTGATAATGATAATGAGATAATGAATGTGAGAAGATATTTTGAATAGTGTCTGTGGTTTTATGATCAAGTGAATGTTATAGGACATATATATATATATATATATATATCCTTGATCATAAAACTTCACAATTACATTATGTATTTCGACACTTATTTATTTGTAGCCACATAACGTTTAAAAAAGCCTAATAATCTCATACAACATTTTAATGATTCATGAGAAAAAATATAAAAATTCCCATCAAATTACATAAGCCAGTTTAGAGCTCTAGAATAGATTAAATTACCCCCCCCCCCCTTACTAAAGTAAATGTTACCCTGAATGATTTAAATTTAAAAAAACTCATTTTGCTCATTCCAAAAAGAGATCAAATCTATTATTTTGAGCAGCAGGCATGAGTGAGTCTGTGGCCTGGTGTGGCGGGTTGTTGGGGGCTTGTGTGAATGGACTTTGTAGGATTAACAAATTTAATTTCATAATGTTTCATGTTTATAATATCGTATAAATAGATTATTAAATTTTATTTATAAAGTGGATAGTTTAATTTATGTTTTAGAGGTTAAGTGGTAGAGAGGATTTGCAAGTCCTAACTTCGCCTCTTAAATTAAGACATTTTTCATTTCATTCCTCATTAAAACGTCAAAAACTTTTGCAAGCCGATAGATTACTGCCTCTGTTCACAGTATTTGTCTTAGTCCTGAGTTTCTTTCCATTGCCTTGTGATTAGACTACATTCGATTTACCTATGCTTGGAATAATTTTGGTCCTTGTAGCTATTTTCTACCATATATCTACATAAATTATGTCAACTGTTGTTTCCTGTTTGGTATAATCATTCTGGAAGGCTACTGTTGATTCGTAAATTTTCTAACAAATGTTTATTGTTAACAGGCTCACGTAGTACTTACGTACCATCGTTCGTATCTGGTACCTCTATGTGACGCAGTCATCATCAACAAACGTCAAGTTCTTACCTCAGCCAGTTGCTTAGAGTAAGTTCTACTATATATGTACTTTAAACCTCAGATCAAAGAGTGGAAAGTATTAAATCTCATGTATTGTGTCAGTATGAATAAATAGAGAAAATTTAAGGTACAAGCCTTGGCGGAAAACCTTAAAAACTTCTACGAGTGACGTTAACAATATTTACGCGGGTTGCGTACACTACTTTACCTACGACGGTGTTTTAATTACTAAAATTCACTGCTCATAACTTCTAAGAGAGGTTATGTTTTTGTTTATAACCTCTAATTGCCACTGACAGTGAAGCAACGAAACATTGTATCAAATACTAATTGCACCAATCAACAACTAAATTGGCCTGAACAGCTGATTAGTTGAATTTTGAATCATTACAATTTTGCTACTCCTCTCTCAATCCTTGAACCTCATTGGTCCGTTACCTGTGTTGTTATGAGTAAAACTATGCTGTTATGAAAGTAAACAATGCTGTTATGAGATACTTTTCAATTCTAAGAACTGTACTGAAACGACTACTTTAAAAAACGGTCGTAGGTAAAACTATTTAAGGAATTTAAAAGAAGTAATTTAAATCCAAGTTCCGAAGCAAATTAAATTTGAAATTCCTCATCAATCCTTAGCAGTGGTGCTTGACAAAATAGTTTCATTTAAGAGTAGTAATTGTTGGTGGACTAGGGTGTTACGGCCAAACACTTACCTGGACTTGAAACACCCTCAATACATTTTAAAGAAGATAAGCAATGTTTTTTTTTTGGGAAATGTTAACCCGATTGTCTATGGAGTGTACCCTAGTTATGTCAATTATAACACAAAGGGAATCCTTTATGAACTAATGGATAAGTTCATAAAGGATAAGTTCATGCAAATTTACAGAACAGTGAATTTACAGAATTTTAGTAAATGGTGGTTTTGATTTATAGAAGTGATTTCACTTCATAAATAGTATACATTAAAATTGCTATTTTTATAAATTTCTAAGTATGAAAAACAATTATGCTATATGAATTGAATAAAACTACAGTAAAACATAATTTTATGTTCGAAAAGTTTTCATCATAAAATATAATCACTCTAGACTGAAAGTCATTTTTTACGTTAAAAAGTAAACTATAGTACCTTTTGACTAATGTATAGAACATTTCAAAATTGTTTAGCTACACTTTCTAGCTAAAAGATTTCCAAAACAGTTGTCTCCAGTTTTAAATATTATATATTTGAATTAAACTTGATACTACTATCATCTATTAGATCTTAATTTCTCTTTAATACTCTGATTCTCTTGTCTAATAAATTTAAACTTGGTCTGAATGTTCCAGATCGGATAAGTCCCTCTCTGGTGTCTTGGTAGTTGCAGGGACAGCTGAGTTCGCCCCTGAGAATGATGGGCATTACTACAATCTGTCCAACGCTTATGTAAATCCAAACTACAACTCCACGACTCACTACTACGACCTTGTAATTCTCGAGGTGAAATTCACATTTGATTATGTAAACAAGATGTTTTATCGCAAGCAGTTTAAAGTAGGATGATATCTTAAGTCAGTATGCTATATGTTGTAATATGATAGGAAGTCAAATATGTATTGTAATCTTAAGTTTAAACTATTTTGACAATATAGATATTTGTGCCCATTCTACACGAGGGTAAAACCCGCGACGAGATTCCCGCATTGGGGCCACACACTTCACAGGGACCATTGTGTTAAATTGGCATGTCTACACGAGCGGGATTCACGACGCGGATGGACATGTCAGGAGGCAGGAGTGCGAAGTTGATGTCGATGCCGGCGTCAATCCCATGTCGGGAATGCCGCCAGCCACCCTACACGTAGCGGTATCACTGCGCACGGTAGCTCACATCTCAAATCCATTATCCAGTTGCTTTTAGGTTCCATACGATGCAGTGTGATGTTCGATCATGAATGAAGCATTAGGTTTTTATATGTTATACATGTTGTATTCCTTTAGTTACAAGTATCTTTATTTAAACTATAAAAATAATTGTTCGGCTAGTAAGATATTGTAATGTGTTTAACATTGAGTACATTTTATTTATTAACAAAAATCACAATAGAAATTTATTTGTAATAGCAAAGGAAATACAAACATTAATCACCATACGGCAACAAGGATTTGTTCCATAAAATTAATATTGAAGTTTATTTGTCGGATATAAGCGACTTTGTATATAGAAGTTTAAATTAAGTAAGTTATATTTCTACATGATGTGAATAAACAAAAAAAATTAAGCATAACCTAGTCCAAATTAGTAGTTGAAGTTGTACAACTCAAGCTAATTGAGCTCCACTGTGTCCATCCTGCGTCTGTGTAGAATGGCCGGACGGGTTTCAAGCGGACTCCACGCATTGGATATCCTGCCATATGTAGTATGCACAAAATTTTGGCGCGGTCGCGCGACGGTCTCATCGCGAAACTCACGCGCGTGTAGAGTAGAATGGGTCTTAGATGTTAACAATTTTGTGGTGCATAGGTCGGCTTACCCATTCACAGTTTTTTGTAATATTTTTTTTTAAGAGTACAATATTTGGATCCATACCAGAGAACTGTTCGGATAATTGTTTTATATATTAATATTTTATGTTTTTGCTGCACTATCTAAACAAATCGGGTTAAAGTGGGGTCTCATGGGAAGGGGGCTCTTGGATGGATGTCCATGATGTATGGTAATGTAATTAATTACAAAATATGATTAAATAACTGGAGAACGGTAAAAACTCACTACGGTAAAATAGTGAAAGTTACGGGATAATAGAGATTATGGTAAAAAAAAGAGCTATGGTTAATTGAGGTTCCATTAAATGCCAAAATACTTATAACAAGATCTGTTCAATATGAGCTCAAGACTATTTTTTTCCAGACTGATAGAGATTTTGAGATGTCTGTCAATTTGACTGCTGTGGAGCTGTCAAAGTTTCCTCAATTTGATGACTGTTTCATCACAAGTTGGTGGGTAAGTTCCGTAAGTTGATTTGCTTTAAAAAAATATGTCCACCTTCATGATTACTAAAAAGTATTTTCAATTAAGGTTTGACCCTTGTGTAAAGATTTATTAAAATGGATTATTTCTGGGCTCGGGCCCAGGAACACAAGAGGTTTCAGGTGTGTTGGGGGTGCAAGGAAGATAGAAATTCCCCCACCAGGTAGGTGGAGAGAGGCACATAAAACTGGACCCAAAACTGTCCTTGAACTTTTGGCTTTTAATAAATGGCCCTGACTAATGAAACAGCTGATCTTAGTCAGTAACAAAGCTACAAGAGGCTTAACACTCCATTCTACACTCATCCTTGACTCATATTTGGGTTTAAATAAGCACTTATAAACAACCCCCATCTCAATTCATGATAAAATCAAACTTACATGTATGTTTTAGGTACAAGTAATTATTTTAGTGTGGGCTACTTTTTTACTCCTATTAGTGAAGCATATTGGTATTAAACAAATTTATTTTCTTCCAGGTAGGCAACAGCGGTTCTGAAAGATATGATGACTTCCTACAATTTTCCCAAGTTAAACTGAGCCCCAAATGTCAAACCGATACAAAGCAAATATTTTGTGCTGACACTGCTTCTTATGTGGTAATTTGTTTATGGTTTCCTCTATTCCATTGATAATGTTGTGTTTTATCAGGTGGTCCCTGAATCTTTCATCTAAACTTGTTGAAAGGAGTAGGCAGGGGTTTGCATTTGTGACAGCGGCTTGGATATAACAGGAATCTGAATTAAAGTAAAATATCATACTATCATACTATTTATATCATACTATTTATTTATTTTTTATTTTTATTATTATTATGTGTAAAAATTAATCATATTATACCTTAACAGTGAAAGAGCTGAATAGATTAGCACTTATCATATTTTCCTGACAATCAACAGGTTATCCCTTTGATCCTAAAAAAAAGTAATAGTTTTACGTTTGGATTCTTAAATATTAAAGTTGATTGAAAATTCATCAGATAAAAAAAATGCATGTCTGTGAGGTATAAATGTGCAAAGCTCATTGGAACTAGAATTACACTATTGAGTCAAATATTAAAAAACAAATATTATCAGTTTAGAATGTCTCTATATTCACATACAGCTTCAACATGCTTGCAAATTTCAACCAGATTTTTCTCTTTATTTGAGCATACATTTTTTTATTATTCACAAGTGTCCAGTAATAAATTACACATTCAAACTTCATCTTAGAGTTAATTATAGGTACCAGTGGCGGTTTCAGGACCTTGTCAGGGAAGCTAACGAAGGTGTTCTACACCAGGAGGGTGGACCGGGAAAATTTGATATTTTTAAAGCTGTTTTGTGACTTTTTAAAGCCATTTTCAAGGTCTTGAACTGAGTACAAAAACATCTGTTACATTTTTGGACAAAGTAAATGTTTAAATTTTTAGTTCCATGGCCCAATTGGGGGCTTTAGCCCCTAGCCCCCCCCCCCTTGAAACCGCCACTGATATGTACTGCTTTTCTCTCTCTAAATAGAGCAAATTTACAGAATGCTAATTATAATATCAAACCACCTGTTTCAGCTATCCTTTGCATTTATAAGTGGCACTTTTTCAGTATAATTATTTGACTTATGTTTCAGGGTGAAATCGGAAGTCCACTTGTATGTGGTGGGTTTCTCTCTGGAATAGAATCATACTATCCACTTCATAATAATAGACTCTTAACAAATATTTCCACAAATTATGATTGGATTGTAAGTTTAGCACCAATTCCAAGCACAACCTTCTCTCCAACAACAGTTACTACAGATACACCCACCGCATCTACAACAACAACCACCCCTACTGCACCACCAACACAGAGTCCAACAACAACCACCCCTACTGAACCCCCAACACAGAGCCCAACAACAACCACCCCTACTGAACCCCCAACACAGAGCCCAACAACAACCACCCCTACTGAACCCCCAACACAGAGCCCAACAACAACCACCCCTACTGCACCACCAACAGAGAGTCCAACAACAACCACCCCTACTGCACCACCAACAGAGAGTCCAACAACAACCACCCCTACTGCACCACCAACAGAGAGTCCAACAACAATTACCCCTACTGAACCCCCAACACAGAGCCCAACTGTAACCACCCCCCCTACTGCACCACCAACAGAGAGTCCAGCAACACCCACCCCTACTGCACCAACATCAATCACCACAAGCACTCCTGTTACACCAAGCAGCAAGACTACAAGTACACCAATTCCAATTACAATAGTTACAGAAACTATAACCACAACAACTGCTCCAAAGCCTACAGGAACAACAGCTACAGCAATTCCGTCTAATACAACTACTGAAAGAACCTCAACTACTGAGTTACCTACAATGAGTGTCACAGAAACGCCAGCTTACACTGAGTCAGAGACTTACAGTTCTACAATGTTCTCTTTCTTTTCATCATCTAACACTCCAATATTTACAGACTCGTCTGAAGCATCAACAATTATTATAGAATCAACTACCACTACCACATCAACTACAACTACCCCTACTAAACCCCCAGTAACAGAGAGTCCAACAACAACCACCCCTACTGCACCCCCAACAGAGAGTCCAACAACAACCACCCCTACTGCACCACCAACAGAGAGTCCAACAACAACCACTCCTACTGCACCACCAACAGAGAGTCCAACAACAACCACTACTACTGCACCACCAACAGAGAGTCCAACAACAACCACTACTACTGCACCACCAACAGAGAGTCCAACAACAACCACTA